GTTGCAGTGTACGTTGTCTTTTACACTTGTTTCTTCCAAGGCTTAGCCCTGTCTGACTGCCTATAATATTTCTACCTAACTTAGCTGTCTACAACATTCTCCCCCTCTGAAGAAGTACCCTGACCTGCAGTGAGGAAGTATTGGATGATGACTAATCTGGCTTCTTCAGGCTGACGGAGGTTGCAGTTGTTGATTATAAGTCAGAGATACTCCACAGACAGTCTATCTAAAAGTGCTCAGTAGACATCAGATATTATCATCTTAGGTAGGTGTATAGATTTTTTAAAGTCTTCATATGTGTCATATAACCCTCTCTTGACAAGGTTGATCTGATGGATCCTGGCAAAAGGAATCTAGAATATTTGTTATTGGTTTTATCTATATGATTCTTGGGGTGTGGTAATCTCTGGGCAAGAATAAACAAATTTTTAGGAAATTAGAGCATTCGTAATCAACGCATGAACACTAGAGCTGGCAGGTAAGTCTCGGAAATGTTCTTCATGGACTAGAATAACAATTGTAAATCATTTGCTCTTAGATCCCTTTACTGATAGAGTTTAATATTTTGTCATAAGTCCCTCTAGTTTTAGCTAAAATTATATCCAAAATTTTGATGACTTATGAGAATCAGATTATAACAATTGACACATTATTTTTTACCAATTGAAAACTCTCAAGTTATTGTATATAGACAAAATATGTATTGTATTTGTTAAACCAATCTGAGCATCATTTTGATTAGTTGGAAATCTGGGTATATATATTAAAGTATTTAGACAGGATAAATATCTCCCTAGGATGGGAGCTGGGTTTTTAGTCCTAACTAAAAAGAATGGGTGAAGAGAAAGTTATCCCAGTTACAGCTTAAGCAAGTTATTTTTTCCGGTGTCTCCTTTTATTGTGGTATGATGGTTGGAAGGAAGGCCAGGGTTGGAAAAGGGAAAAAAGACATGTGCCAATGTCCAGAAATTGGCTTTTTCTTCTATACAAATGATTACCCAGGGCTCCATGGAGATGACAGGTAAAGAGAACAGTCCAGAGGGAGGAGGCAGATTGCCCCGGGGCCCTTTCATCTTGCTAGACCATCTGGGAAGACAAATCTGAGCTCTGGGGCTTCCATCTCAGAGTGCAGTCTCACTTCCAGTGGCCACACTTGCAGTCAGGGCATGATTTAGGGGGCCCCTTAAGGCAGCCCCTGTTAAGGTGTCCTGGTTTCCACAGTAGTAGTAGTTGAGCTTAATCATTGAGCTCTTCTTGGAACCCCAAGAATCAGACTTAGGATCTGTTTTTTTTAAAGCCACAACAAAGGCAGCTAATTTTTGGTCTCTTTGCTTTCTCTCCTTGGCTTCCTCCCAATCTTGATTATAGAATACTAAGGAGGCAGTTTTCACTAAAATATCAAGTGAGCTACCTGGAGCAAAAGTTATATTTTGTAACTTTTTCCTACTATGTGGGGCTGACTGGGTAATAAACATGTCTTTAAGCAATATCTGTCCTTCTATTGAATCAGGAGCTATGGACATATGTTTTACCAGGGCCTCTAGTAAATTATCTGAGATGGCAGAGGGATTTTCATCTTCCTCCTGATAAATTGCTGACAATCTAAAATAGAGGGCTTTGTTTTTGTCTTTCTTAGACCTTCAAGAATACCTACTTACAAATGTCTCCTGCTCCAATCTCCTGTCTAGCATCTTGAGTAGGGACTGTTTGGGCTTCAATGGAAACTGGTTGTTTCCCTGGCTGTTTATCTTCTGGCTGCCTAAAATTAACCATATGATATTCATCCCAAAGTGTATTAGCAGCTTGTAATGCTGCTTATCTCATTAGAAGTCATGTTTGATGTAAGATTAACATTACATCTTTCCAGTCTAGCTTATAGGTCTGAGTAAACCCTCTAAAGACCTCAATGAACTTAGCAGGGTCATCTGAAAATTTTCCTAGATCTAGCTTGATCTGCTTTAAGTCACTGAGAGAAAGAGACATATGGACATGAGAAATTTTATGTGGATTATAATTACACTTGGAGTATAAATAAGAATTTTTCTTAATGTAAATAAAGTTTGAACATAAGGCAATTCTAACCATTTCCCCTCTTTTTTACAATATGAGTCTAGTTGTAAAAAAGCATGATAATGAATATTTCCCTTTGTATTCCACTGTGGTTCTAGAGGGTAGGCAGGTCATGTGCATGTGCAGAAAAAAAATCAAATGGCTCTTTTTCAACAGGTAAATGTCAAACAGCTTCCAGTGCTTAAGAATGTATTCCAAAGGAGTAAGAGACTTTGAAATTGAGCTCCCCATGTCTCTGTCCAATGATCTCAGTGAATGACCTCCAAATGATATAGGAGAAACTCCCAATCTGCTATATGTCTGGTACAAGTTCGTGTTCTCTAAAATTGAAGAATGAAGTTTAGGAACAACAGAGATTAAGAGCAGAATATATTTACTGAGGAAAGAAAGCTTCTATCTGAGAGACAGGAGGGGGCCTGAGTGGGTTGTCTGAGAATTTGGTATTAACCACATGGTGCTCAGCAATCTGTTGCATCCAGCGTTTGGCAATATCAATTATAAGAAAAAATGCATGAGTTGAAAGTTTTTTCATACTGTTTCAAGAAAATGTTAAAGCAATTTTATTAAATACACTTGTTAGGTTGGAAGATGATAAAGTGAAAGTGTCCATCTCAATCACCTAGGGTCACTGAGCTGTTTACATCTCTAAGACTAGCAGACCCCCAAACAGAAGCTCAGAGATTACTGTATGTTCATTTGCATAAACAGAAACAATTAATGATTAATGAAGCATTAGTTTTTATAAGCCTATTATATAACTTTCAGAAATAATTTGTTTCTGAACTTTCAAACTTTTCCCTCTAAAGTAATAAAGAAAAGTTTCATTTTGCAGGGATCAGAAAATCCAACCATAAGAATGCATCATGAACATCAACCATTATATCTGATCGGCAACTTCTTAGTCCTTAGCTTACAAATTTTATATTACAGTTGTCCATTGGTAACCACCAAAGCCAATGAAATTTCAAGTCCCTTAGATAAAATGGCATGGTATGTGCATATTGCCTTACTCATTCTTCTACAGTACTTTAAATTACCTCTGGATACTTAAAAACCAATAAAATATAAATCGTATGTGAATAATTGTTTAATGTATTATTTAGGGTACAATGACAAAAAGAAAGTCTGTGCACATTAAATCCATCATCATAGTTTCCTTCCAAATGTTTTCCCTCCATGGTTAGTTGAATCTACAGATACAAATATGGAGGACTTCTTATTCTACTGGTATCTGTTAGACTCACCACAAATGTCTGTATGGAATTGTTAGAACACAGATGAGTAGAAAGCTATGAAAGATATTTTTCAATGCAATATAAAGAAATAATCTGAGTTTTGATACACTGAAAGGAACTGCAAGGTAAGGAAGCAACCACTTAGGTGAAAATTAGGATAATCAGGACAACAGCAACTCAAAGTTCTACAGAAGGATTGCTACAAAGGGGACATGTTGAGAAAGATAACCAAGAAGACCCACGAACCCTGCAAAGCTCTCTGACCCTATTTCTGCAACTTTACCCTGGACAGCATGTCTCTCAGTGCCTGGTGCACCTGCTTGTTGCGCAGGGTGTAGATGACAGGGTTCAGCAATGGAGTCACCACCGTGTTCACCAGAGCAGCCTCTCGGTTGGAGTCCAGCCTGCTCGTTTGCTTTGGCTTAATGTAGATGAAGATGCAGCTGCCATACATCAGAGAGAGGACAGCAAGGTGAGAGGAGCAGGTAGAGAAGGCTTTCTGCCTCTCCTTGGCTGATGGGAGGCCCATGATTGTGACTGCTATGTTGCTGTAGGCTATGATGGTTATAAGGAGGGAAGTAAGCAGGATAAATAAAGCTAGGCCAAAAGTCAGCATTTCTGTAGATCTTGGGTCAGAACAGGAGAGATGGATCAGAGAGCCAAGGTCACAGAAGAAGTGAGGGATGACATTGGGGCCACAGAAGGACAATTGGGAAACCTGTAGGACAAGCCCAGTGATAAGACCGAAGGACAAAATATAGCAGAAGAAAATCAGAAAGAAGCAGACCCTCAGGCTCATGATGGCCGAGTATTGGAGAGGCCTGCAAATGGCCAAGTATCGATCCAAGGACATCACAGCCATGAGGAAGAAAATTGTTGATCCAAGAAACAAAAAAGAAAAGGCCTGTGTGAGACAAGAAGTGAAATGAATTGCTTGCTGTCCTAAAAGAAAAATGGTCAGCAGCTTAGGAATAACTGTGGTGATGAAACCGCTTTCACAGAAGGAGAAAGTGCTGAGGAAGAAATACATAGGTGTGTGGAGGTGTCGGTCAGCCCACGTGACTGTGATGATAAGCGAGTTCCCCATGACAGAAGCTAAGTAGGCCAGCAGATGCAGTAGGAAGAGGACCTTCCCCAGGTGCCGGACCTCAGGAAAGCCCTCCAGAGTGAACTCCTGAACAGTCGTCCCATTCCTTATCTCCATTTCTCTGTCTATCATCAACCTTCTTTGACCTATGAGAAACCCAAAATACAAATAAGGAGAAAATTGAAGGACAGATATTAGGAAATATGGAGACCTTTTTCAAATAAGAACGGAACAAGAGACAGAAAGGAAAAAGAGAAGGAAGGGAAAAGGGTTTTAAAAATAGTTGAAGAAAAAGATGGAAATAAAGCTTTTAAAGAAGAGTCGGCAGGATCAGGGAAGGAGGAGTAGGGAAAGGGACAAAAATTCAGAATTAAGATGTGTTATGTACATGTACAATCTCCCCACAATAAATGTAAACATTACATGCTGCAAACATGTACTACAAAGAACAAGACTATCACCAAAACGTAATGATTGATCTCTGTCTACAATCAAAACCAAAGCACTACTTGACATTACTCTTTTGAATGAAGAACCATGTTCTATTTTAGATATTTTATTATAAATTATTTTGAAATGTTCTTTTGTCAGACTGTAAATATGGAACTTTCTTGGCTTTGCTTCGCTCTTTTTTTAGAATAATTTTTATATATAACAAATTTTCTGGAAAGTAGTATCTAGAATCTTTGACTAATACTTCACAAGGTAAGGAAAGTAAAATGAAAAAGCAGTGTTTTCTGAAGATAAAATGTATGACTAAAAACATATACACAACAGATAATATTGTACAATGGAGGCTCTCACTTCAGCGAGGTGAGAGGAGCAGGTGGAGAAGGCTCTCCGCTGCTCTTTGGCTGATAGGAGAGGCATGATAGTGACCAGTATGTTGTTGTACATGATCATGGCTATAAGGAAGGAAGTAAACAGGATGAACAAAGTTAGGTTAAAAGTCAGCATCTCCATAAATCTGAGGTCAGAACAGGAGAGGTGGATCAGTAAACCAAGGTTACAAAAGTGAGGAATGACATTAGGAGCACAGAAGGATAACCGGGAAAACTGCAGGACAAGACCAGTGATATGAGTGAAGAACAAAGTGTATCATTTCTACACTTCTAGTAAAACATGCACTCTAGGAAGCCCTCCGATGAACTGATTTTAGCCCTCTAAAAATAGACAGCATAAAAACTTGTGTTCCCATCAACATATTCCAATCCAGTTATTAACCTGACATCCATTTATCTTGAGTTCTTTCCCTAAGTCCCTAGAATGAGCACGAAAACTCACTATTGCAGAATCCCAGAACTACCCAGCCATGAATTTAAGAGAAACTGCATGTAAATACAGGAAAGAATTGTCCCATTACTTCACTGTCCAGGCTCAGTATACAAACCTCATGTGGGGACATCACTGTCACCCTCATTCCTCCAACTCAGCAGAACAGAAGACCTTCCTTTTGCTGCACCTTCAACATTTCTCCCTCTGTGGGCATTATTTTTATGCTGGAAGATTCTGGTGTGGCTGGAATCATGCCTGCATGTTCCTTGCAGTAGAAGAACATAGACTTTTCAGCCAGGACCTGGATTGAAAGCAGGTGAGTTGATGTTTAATCTAGGGGAAGGGAGTCATAGCCTCTGCTGGAGATAAGTGCTCTAGTGAATCAGTCACCAAATGCAACTTTGTTTGATTTAATTCTTTGATTTGTTCAAACCTGCGTTTTATGCACTATCCACAGTACTAGCTTAAATATAAGCAGTCTCTGGTTTAAAAGTGTGACTCATGAAATTACAAATCAATCAGATGTCAAGTATTTACCAAGAAGTTGTTCCCGGGAAAGAGAGCTTCTCTGTTTATGTGCTTCTTTTTTCTTCCAATATGCCAGGATCTTTCTCCTGGATTAAAAAAAGAAAAGATGACATTCTTAATTGAAATCAACCTATTTTTGATCTATAAAATAGCCAATGGATGTCTCACATCTTAAATCAATAGAAATTATCAAGGCTGATTATTACCAAGGAAGACAGAGCTTTCTAGGCCCTGGAGGACTGAGAATCACAGTTTCCTTTATCTCAACCTGGCTAATAAATCCACCTAGACCATGAAAAGAGTACAAAACACCTCACATTTGCCCTAGCATTTGCACTGTAACTATGTAGAAATCCTGACCATATTCCTGTTAGTCTGTGTGACATGTTCATTCATTCCATGGGACATGATGACATAGTTCACCATGAACATGAAACTTGGCTGCTTGTGCACCCATCCCAAAAAAAGACTCAGGCAAAGAAGGCAACAGAGGTCAGATTTCCTTGTTCACAGAGCCCATTAGCCACTTTTCTGCCACCTAGCTGTGGCCCACCTTTGTGCATAAGTGGGACTGCTGTGGTCATAAACGAAACTGTGCCTAAATCTCTTTGCACTGTATCACCTTGGGACCACTTACCATCTCTAGTGAGGTCAGGCATGCTCCACATGGACAAAGTCCTGGCATTCAGACTTCATTAGAGGAGGGCAAGGGAAGCAAGTTGTAATGAAGTGTGCAGCAAATTCCCAAGGGTCATTGCACAGTTCATTGTTGGAAATGGAAAATGTCAGTAGAAATGTAAGTGCCATCTCACTGTGCATGGCAATGTCATGCATCAGTCTGTTATCTTCAAGGTCCTCTGTGAGGATCTGCACTGTTAGATTTGGCATGACTACCCAAAGGCATAAAACGAGTAAAATTCCAAAGTACACATATCAATAAAATCACCCCAAACAACAGAAATAATTTTAAAAATATAATTAAATGTCTTGTTTTTGCTTTTAAATTTCTTTTTATTTTAAAGAGAAAAAACAACAAAATAACAACAAAGATAAAAACAAAACAACACAAAAATAATACAGGATTTCAAAACAAGATAATAGGAGTTAACAATGGTTGTTATATTACCTGTTGTTTTTGCTTTTTAACCTATCATTTTCTTTACTGAATTATAATTTGCATACTATAAAATGCACAAGTCATAAATGTACAAGTTGATGCTTTTTACACAAATAAACAGCCATGGAGCCACTGCTCAAATCAAACCATAAAGTATCAGGTTAATAATATTCCTTAGTTATTGCAGGCTGATCAAGTCTGCAATCTCCTAAACGAGTGTACAGCAAAGGCTAAATAAAAAGATGCAAATGGAATGATTTCAAGGCTCCAGGAAGATCAGACCCCTCTCACAGAATCTGAGATTCTTTGGCAGCTAAGATCAAGTCCTTCTCTGTGGCCTATATTTATTTGGTTATCAGAAGAAAGGAGGAGAGTACACAAGAGGGGTGGAATCGCTCAAGGACTTCTCCAAGTTAGAGATTAAATTAATCCTTAACAAGGATGAAGTTAGTCTACCAAGGAGTGAGATGCCTCAGGCTATAGTCTTTATCTAGTTGAGATTGGATCCAGTGTCCTTGGCTGTGATCTTGTTTTACCCTTTGAGACTTTCCAGCTTCATCTGACATTTCAGGTTTTAGTAGGGATCAGTGACTCACAGAGGTTCACTTACTATGAGTCCACCACCTATGTTCAGACAAGGAGCCTAGGCCTTGAACAGACTCACAAGTAAACATAAAAAGGCAATTGGTTAATTAAAGTCCTCAGGGCTGATTCATAGTGCTCTCCATCAACAAAGTATCCTTATTTCACCATAAACTTCCCTATCCCCTTCTTTTGCTGAGCTCTACAAGTTTCAGTAGGTTATGTTTCTATTTTCATTTGCCTCAAAATATGTCTTAATTTTCCTTTTTGTTTATTCACCCAGTTGTTTTCCAGGAAAACATTGATTAATTTGCATATAGTTGTGTAATTGTTTTTAGGTTCACACAATTTTAATCAGAAAACACAGTTGATATATATTCAATATTTCTAAATTTATAAGACTTAGTGACCTACCACTGAGAATTTGTGTGTGAGTGCCTGTGAGGATGTGTATTTTGCTACTGTTAAGTGGAATGTTTTGTATATGTTGATTAGATCAATTTGGTCTATCATGTAGGTCAAGTCCAATGTTTCCTTATTGTTTTCTGTTTCTTTTATTTATTTATTTTTGTACCAGGAATTGAACTCAGGACCTGTGTTTGTCAGGAAGGTATTGTGCTGCTAAACTATCTCACCAGCCCCAAAGTTTCCTTATTGATTTTCTAACTAAATAGTGTGTCCATTTTTGAAAGTGTCATATTGAGGTTCCTTCTTATTATAGTCTATTAGTTATAGTCTCTTACTTTAAGTCTATTAACATTTGCTTTATATATTTAGGTGTTCCAATATTGGGAGCATATACATTTATAATTGGAATAACTTCTTGATGAGTAAACGCTTTAGCATTGTATAATGATTTTTTAATCATTTTACATTATTTTATTTGAAATCTATTTTATCTAAGTATAGCTATGTCTGCCTTTCTGTCACCTCACATTTGATCTGTGTATGCTCTTCAAGGTGAAATGAACTCCTTATAGGTGGCACAGAGTTGGGGCTTGTGTTTTTTGTTTGTTTGTTTTCATAGCCACTATCTGCCTTTTAATTGGATAATTTAATCTGTTTGCACTCAAGTTAATATGTATAGGTAAGGACTTACCAGTGCCATTTTTTTCTGGTTATTTTGTAGGTCCTTCCTTCCTTCCTTCCTTCCTTCCTTCCTTCCTTCCTTCCTTCCTTCCTTCCTTCCTCCCTCCCTCCCTCCCTCCCTTCTTTCCTTCTTGGTTAGATGATTTTCCATAGTGCTCTGCTTTGATTATTCTTTTTGTATCAGGAATCAAACTCAGGACCTTGTGCTTGCCAGGCAGGCACTTGTGCCGCTGAGCTATATCCCTGGCACTTGATTCATTATTTTTAATCCTTTGTGCAATGGTTATAGGTTTTGTGATGACCTTAATTCTTACATAAAATATCTTATAGTTGTTTGAAGTCAATAACAACTTTTTAAAAATTTAAACAGAAAATAGGACAATCAAACAGTGTTTTAAAACAGGCTAGTAGGACAGAAATAATCAATACATTGCATATTGTTATATTCATAGTAATTATTCAGAATATAAGATATAGGCATCAAATATTGTCCAAGAAAGTATTAGCACAAAACTTTCTTCTCAAGAAATTGAGAGAAACTAACTATATAACTATCTTGTCTTCTGTGTATATATATATATTTTTTTCCTTTCCCTTCATTCCTTTCCCTTTTCTCCCTTCACAGTTTTTCTTTTCTTTTGAACAGTTCCTTCCCTATTCACAATATCTGCTTTACATTTTAACTCTTATTTACTCTTTGTTTGTCACACTAATGAGACAATATGATGTTTACACGTATACGTCTGATTCATTTCACTTATGAGCATGGCACTAAACTAAAGACAAAATGGATCAAATATTTAAATACTAAAACAGAAACACTACACATACTAGAGAACAGATAGGTAGAAATCTTGAAGACATAGGTGTAGGTAGAGACTCCATGAACAAAACCCATACTGCAAGGAAAATACTACAAAGAATCAACAAATGGGATCTCACCTTATTAAAAAGCTTCTGCACAACAAAAGAAATAATCAGCAAAGTGAAAAGACAACTCACAGAGTTGGCAAAATTATAGCCAGTTGTCTTTCAGACAAATAATTTATATCTAGAACATATAAAGAATTGAAAAAAATTAGGCCCCACAAATTCAAAGACCCAGTCCAAAACTGGGCATCTGAAATGAATACATAATTCTTAGGAAGTCTGCATTTGGTCCCTGCATGCACCCTGAGCTGCCTGGTGACATGGACCAAGCAGTCTATGACCCACTGCCACCGTGGTTCATGTCTGGGCCCTGCTTGCTACATCAGCTGTCTGAAGACTGCAGACACAACAACGTGCGTTCTGCAACCACCACAGTTTGTGTCTGAGTCCCTAGAGCCAGGTCTGCTCCATCAACTTCCTAGGGACAATAGAGCAGGTGGCCAATGATTCTGACACCATTGCAGTATGTCTGGGCCCTGAAAGTGCCTTCAGCTGCCGGTCGACACTGGACGAGGCAGTCCATCATATGCAGCCACTGTGGGTCACCTTGGGATCCTGTGTGTGCCCTGAGCTGACTGGGGACACTGGACCAGGTGGTCCATGAGCTGTTGCAAACACACTTAGCATCTCAGCCCTGCACGTACCTTCAGCTGCGTGGGGACACTGGACCAGGCAGTCCACAATCTGCTGCCATCACAGTTTGCATCTGAAGGGAGGAAATTATAAAGAGCAGGGCAGAAATTAACACAATTGAGATGAAGAAAACACTACAAAAAATTAATGAATCAAAGAATTGGGTCTTTGAAAGAATAAATAAAATTGATAAATCCCTAGCCAACCTTATCAAAAAAAGGAAAGAAAAAAATTAAATTCATGCAATAAGGAATAAAAAGGGTAAAACCACTCCGGATTCTATAGGAATTCAAAAAATCATTAATACCCAGTTTGAAAATCTTTCTTTCTAAACGATAGAAAACTCAGAAGAAATGGACAGATTCTGACATAAGTACAAATTACCAAAGTTGAATCAAGAAGATATAAAAATCCTTGTTATGGTTGAAACATTGTGTCAACTTGGGGAGTCTAGAGGTTTGGCTAAGTGACTCAGCAGGAAGCCAGGATAC